AGAGGCATTGAAAGACGGTGCAGAGGACACAGGTTAGCCAGGTTACACTCATGAGATATATATGTGCATTGACGTTCCACATGCAGGGACAACCAAGAAAAGAATATTGAGAAATTTATGACATGGAGTCGAAAATTTCAAGGAGGCCTGAGGAATCGGAGACGAAGATGCCGTGAATAAACTGGTGAGAAACGTTCTCTCACACATTCACGGCAATACCATAATCCATACCATCAGTACGTAACCCAGTACAAAAATGTCAAAATTGAAATAAAGGTAGAAAGCCGAGTCAGCTTGAAGACCGAAGAATAATCACGTTCAAGCAAGGCTAGTACAGGGACAGTTACAGCTAATACAAGTATAGCTAGTACAATGACGGTTACAGCTAACAACAACGTTTAGGTAATGCTCCACTCAGTGAATTTGTTTAGGTTTAGATCCAGAGGTATAGTACCTGACGGCCATAAATTCTGTGGTTGATACAGCCAATCAACATATAAGAAAGGATGTCTCATGACAAACAGAGACAGTTTATCGTCAATAAAAGAGGTATATAAAATAGAACAAGCAAGACCGAGCGCTAATCATACTTTAGCTTTTGAAAGTTGATCGACGAGACGGTTGAAAGGCCGATCAACATGAAAAACACAGGGTCGGTTGACAGAATATATCATACATCTCACTTTCAATGGGCGCTACTAAATACAGCCTCATTTTGACAGAATAGGTATAGACAGAAGGGTTGTTAGGACCAAGGAATATTTGTTCAAGTATATGACGGTGACTAGGGATCAAGCATGTTCCCATGCATTAGCAACCCTTGAATGAAATTGACAAGCAATCGTACGCGTATTCACAAGTTTTGTTGCTTAGGCATTCACATATACTTTCAACATGGATGCATTCTACGACAACGATGAAGCCAGTGAGTAGAGCATATTTACTGCCATTGTGACTGAAAACCAAAAATCCATAGGAGATCTTCTTGAATTCGTAACCAAGGCACGCATTGAGAAAGGCCCAAAGGTCTGTCAACTATTGACCTTCGATGAGGTTAGCAGCGCCTACCTTAGAAGTTCGATGAGTTTACTAATTGACGATATGTAGAAAGATGGGATGGCACCATACGCATTTGTGCAATCCATGGAGAAACCTCATTGCTGGAAGCTTGTAAGGATTGAACAGAACACGCAAGAACAAGAGGAAGTCGTCCTACGTATCCAAGGAATCATATGTGACAAGAGCATACCGCCAATTAAAAGGCCATTTGAAATGTACGTTGATGATACTAAAGTCTGTGGTGCCTTCTCAGCATATATATACACAGAGAGTCACGAGGCCGGAAATATCTACGTCAAAGCATTACGCTTACAGGATTCGGTTCAGACATAATGAAGAAAGCCATTGAGAATATACATTACATCCATGGGTTATTCAATCAGGAATTCACGCAAGGAGAACTCGAGGCTTGGACGCCTGGAAGATTCGGCCAGTTTGATGCTATCGACATATCGAACCGCTACTTCACCAGACGGAGTGACATGAATGGAGAGATGCCAATCCAATTCAGTCGTGCTATTGATCCAGATGATATATTGACAAATGCGTTATCAAATGACTTCGTTCATATTCAAGAGAATGTCGTAGAGTATTACGAGGCTGTAAAGAAGGACAACAAAATCAAGTGAGTATATTTCTACTTCTTTGGAAGAATGACTTATAACGATGGTTATAGATATATAGATATCAATCCTGGACGTATTCAGAGGGGAGACATTTTGGAAATTCAAGCTTCATTTATGGTTGTACCACTAAAAGCCAAGAAATTCAAAATGCTTATCGTGCTAAGAGCGATTACACTTTTAGACAACAGCGCTACCAAAGTGAGTAAAATTTTATTGCCTTACAAGCTTTACTAAAATACTTTTGGTGACCAGAACGCAACTATTTCATGACAAATGAGTGGACAGGAAGTACGTCGCATCAGCCAGACCCTAAAGAGAAAGACAGGATACAGTGAGGATGAGGATGTAGAAATGCGTGACAAGGTTAGAAGGATGCATATTGATTGAAATGTATGGTCTATGGCTAGACTACACATATGATTTACGTTGTGAATGTGGGCTAATTATGAAGCTAACAAAGGCAGATAGACTTTGATGAATCAATGTGATTTACTTTTTTTTCGTTGATAAATTATACTTCTTTACATTGAGAGTATACCAATCGCCCCGGCAAGGCCGGAGCATGATTGGTATACTATCAATGTAAAGAAGTATAGTTAGTTGCATTGAAGTAAAAAGGAAGCCAAAAAAAAAAGTAAATCACATTGATTCATCTAAGTCCTTCAGCCAAATAGAGCAATAATGAGGCCACAAGGCGAGTGCTGCGAGAACGCTGCAAGCAGAAGCCATGAGCGCAAGCCATGACACGTGACAACCATGAGATATGATGACAAAGCATACCATGGATCGATAACACTCTGGAAATGTTGAGGGATGTTTCTAGGACAGGGCTAGCAAACAATTTGAGGAGAGAGAGAGCAGAGGCATCACTATTCATATGCTAAGGGTGCTAAAAGCAAATGTTAAGCAAAGATTTGGTAGATTTGACTAGAAAATATGATGAAGAGGATGAGGCATTCAACCGTGGGAAGAAATCATTTTCGTGGGAGAAAGTCAAATTTCAGCGTTACCGCGCTGAAAAAAGTCTCGAGATCCCGGGTAATAAACGAGTCTCTTCGTAAACTCAGAGGACTCGTAACAAAGTGGGGAAAATCAAAGGCTGCTTCAAAATCAAAGCACAAGTCAAATGAAATTGACTTTGATGATCAACATCAAATCTGGAATGTCAGACATGGATCAACTGAACACTTTGCTGGAAAGCTTTCACTCTGCCTTGGAATGCCTGTGATGATCAGAAATAATGATGCAACTGAGCTGTGCATAACAAAAGGTCAAGAAGGATTTGTAGTTGGATGGCAGGCAAAGAAAGGTCCACATGGAAAGAGAATACTGGACACTCTATTTGTAAAATTAGATAAGCCTTCAAAAACTATTAAAATACCTGGGCTTCCAGAAAATGTGGTACCTTTAGTCAAGGGAACTAAAACTATTACATGTACATTCCCTAGTGACCTGAAGGAGTCTATAGAAAGACAACAAGTTTGGGTTCTACCTAATTTTGCAATGACAGATTATGCAGCTCAAGGAAAAACTAGACCATACAATGTTGTCCATCTCAACAGCTGCCATACTCATATGTCTTA